GACCCTGCAGGTTGGAGGCATGTGGACTGACCTCCGAAGGCTGCAATGCCCTCTCCGCCGCCCTCACCTGCAGCCAGCACCTGGCCAGCCTGAACCTGATGCACAACGACCTTGGTCTCAGAGGAATGACGACACTGTGTTCGGCCTTCATGCATCCCACATCTAATCTACAGACCATCGGGTGAGTCCCCAGAGATGGCTTCTGAAATGCAAACATACAAACAAAATGTTTGTTATCTTCCAAAAAAGAACCAAAAGGAGAATTACTGCAGGATCCGGCCATCCCACTTGTGGTCTTGGTGGCAGTCTGGTTGCTAAGTTGTGTCTGACTCTATTGTGAGCCCATGAACTATAGCCTGCCAGGCTCCTCTGTCCATGGGGATTCTCTAGGCAAGAACACTGGAGTGGGTTGTTATTCCCTTCTCCGGGGGATCTTCCTGACCCAGGGATGGAACTCGGGTCTCCTATGTTGCAGGCAGATTCTTTACCATCTGAGCCACCTTGGAAGCCCTAAAAGATACAGAATTTGGTTTTTTTAAACAGGGTGGGGGCTGAGTTTTATTCTAGGGGGGAGGCACTTTCTGTCCGCAACAGAGCAAGAGCTTTCAGACCCTTGGGCGGGGTGGTGTCCCGCAGTGCTGAGGAAGGGAGAGGTGTCAGAAGCAAATCCCCAGAGTAAGGAGGCCCCTTTCTGCCCCTCCCCAGGCTGTGGAAAGAGCAGTACCCGACGCAAGTAAGAAGGCTGCTGGAGCAAGTGCAGAGAGTAAAGCCCCACGTGGTTATCAGTGACGCCTGGTACTCAGAGGAGGAGGAGGACCGGCGCTGGTGGAGATCCTGAAGCCGGGAGGACCCTCCGCCCACCCCCGCTCTGCTGGGGACCCTTCAGGAGACGGATGACGACTCCTGAGTCTCACGAAGCCTCACTGGTGGTGGTTCCCGGGTATCCACTTCAGCCCGCTTGTTGGTGTCTGCCTCTGACGTCCTGGGACCTCAGTTATCTGTGAAGCATGTGCCCTACCTGAACACACGGGGAGGACTGAATAAACACTGAGCATTTGGAAGAAGCATCCAGTTCCTTCTTGATCGATGGGGGTGGGACTCCAGAGCAGACGAGGGAGGACTTGGGTCTTTAAAAAAGTCACAACTCTGCTGAAGTTTTTAAAAAAAATTTTTTAAGTGCATATCTGAATTTCAAAGGAGGATGTGACTATTACTGAACATCAGAGGTATAAACACAATGTTGAATTTATCGCTTAGTGTAGTAAAGAACTGGTCTGCCAGAGTCTCCTCCTCAAAGCAACCACAAGGTAGGTAATATTTTTCCTGTTTTACAGAGAAGGAAACAGACCGACGGATGTTGACGGGGGTCTGGTGTCACAGAAAGTCATTTAGTCATCCAGAGAAAACGCTGTAATTTGAAAAAAACAACAACCCTGCACCCCAATATTCTTAGGAGCACTATTTACAATAACCAAAGACAACAACAACCTAAGTGTCCACCGAGAGATGAACGGATAAAGAAGACATACAATGGAATATTACTCGGCCATAAAAAGAATGAAATCTTGCCATTTGCAGCGACATGGGTGGACCCAGAGATGATCACACTGTCAGAAAGAGAAAGGCAAATCCCGTGTGGTTGTCATTCCACATGGAATCTAAAATACGATGCACGATTACATGCATGTTTACTTCTATATTTGCACCAGGGAAAGGCAGGGCAAGAGGTCAGGGGCCCACTCCTGGAGGGGTCCATCCCCTCTTTGCCACCCCGTGGACTGTAGCTCACCAGGCCCCTCTGTCCATGGGACTCTCCAGGCAAGTATCCTGGAGGGGGTTGCCATTTCCTCCGCCAGAGGATCTTCCCGTCTGCATTGGCAGGCGGATTCTTTACCACTGAGCCATCAAGGAAGCCCTGGAGGGTGACCCTTTGCAAATCCAGGGGCATCGCCCTGACCACCCCAGTACATCTGGCCATGGTGGGGCTGGGGCCCTGGGGTGGGGGCATCTGTCCTGCGTCCTAGATGACTCTGGGCTCTTCCCTTGTCATTTTCTCCAGGTGGATAAAGTCGGGGGGGGGGGGNGGGGGGGGGGGGTTGTGAAGCCATGTCAGCTGGTCCTCTAAGCCATAAGTCCCCGAACGCCTGGCCTGGGGTCGCTGTGTAGAATCTCCCCCGTCCACTGGGGGAGGAGTCGGTGGGTGGGGGAGTCCAGGTTTAATCCCGCGGCCCCGGGAGCAGGCGCCCAGCCCACCTCCTTGCGCTCCCCCTGGTGTCCACGAGGCGGCGGCAGAGCGTCACCTTTCTCTTAACACACGCGGGAGCAGGAAGGATGGAGGGGTCCCTGGGGCCAGTGTCTCCCCAGCACCGCTGGCCTCCGCGCGGGATAACCCTTTGGGGGCGGGAGCCCCCGCCCCGTGCATGGCAGGACATCAGCAGCATCCCTGGCCTTTCCCCACTAGATGCGAGGTGCACCCACGCACACCTCCTCCTCTGCCCTGGGAACTAAAGGTGACTCCAGGGCACAGTCGCCCCAGCTGAGAACTGCTGCTCGACTGGAGACAGAAGACCCTCTCCTGGCCGCACGCCCACGCCCCACGGGACGAAAGTGCCCTCCACGCAGGCCCGCGTCCTCCTGTGGCCACTGTCTGCTCCCCGCGGAGGAGGAGGGCTGTTCCCAGGCCCAAAAGTGCGGCTGCGTGAGTCACAGCCGCTAGAGCTTGGGAGCAGGAGGCTGGATAAATAGACTAAGTGGCTGCCCCTGCCGGCTCACTGCGCGCATGCTCAGTCGTGCCCGACTCCGCGGTCTGTGGGTGCACAGACTGCACCTGCCAGGCTTCTCTGTCCATGGGGTTCTCCAGGCAGGAACGCGGGGGGGCGGGGGGGCAATGCCCTGCCCCAGGGGGTCTTCCTCACCCAGGGACTGGACCCGCATCTCCTGCGTTGGCAGGTGGGTTCTTGGCCACCGAGCCCCTGGGAGGCCCCTCGAGCTCACTGAAGGCCACAGTGAGGGCAGGAGAAGGCGGGCGCAACAGCGGGCCTGGCTCCTAAGTCCCGCACGAGGCTCCTCCCGGGACAGGGCTTCGCGGGCAGTGACCGCAGGCCAGGGACCCCAGGGGCCCCTTGAAACAGGCGTGACAGGCAAGTTGCTCTTTACACAGAGGCAGCGGAGGGTCGGAGGGGTTAGTTCACTTGCCCGGAGTCACACAGCCTCTCTCTGCGGCCAGTCTGGCCCGGGTGTCAGGCGCTGCTTCTGCCTGCAGACGTGCAGACAGGATGGCGGAACCCAACGCTTACTGCTCCCCAGGGGACAGGGCACACCCCCGCCCCCAGGAGACAGGACCCCCGCCCCCCCGCGGCAGCGCCCACGGTCAGCGCCGGCCGCCAGGAAGGGCCCTGCGGCACCGGGCGACGCCGCCTCAGCCTTTGTTTCCCCTGGCTGGACAAACAGCGGCTTTCCCCCGCCTCCCGTACAGGGGTCCGAGCCCTCAGAGGAAACGGACCCGGGTCCACAGTTTCCAAGCGAGGCCACAGCCACTTAACAAGGTGTTTTAATGAATCCTCCTGGACGACCCATCCCTGCCCACGGGTGGCCGGCCGTGGCCTTGGCTTCCGAACCCCAGGCCCCAAGGGGGTGTGGCCTGGGGCTGCTCACCGACAGCACAGGCCAGGGGAGACTCATCAGGCCTGAGAGGGCACACACCCCCACCCCCGCTTCCTCCTTCGGCTCCCCTGGCTGGTTGGTCGGCTCTGTGCTCCACGGAGGTCAGCGGAACCCTTTGGCCAGGCTGCAAACACCCCCTGGGGGGACCCTACCTCCCCGGCATCACCCACTGAAGCCTCCCAAGACCCCTGGGTCCCCAGGCCTCCAGTGGAGGGTCCCGGGATGCTGCGGTGCTATCAGATACCGCCCCCACAGGGGCCGACCTGAGTCTGGCACTTGGCCCAGAAGCAGAAAGACATTGCCCAACCTTGTCTTTCCCCAGGCCCTGCTGCCTCCCGGCGGGGTGGGGGCGGTGCGGGGCGGTGCGTAGGCAAGTACCGCCCACCCACCAGAGTCCAGCTTCCTCCTAGAGGCAGTAGTTCTGTCGCTGGGAAGTCGAGGCAAGCACTCCTCTGCGGTGACGTGTAACTCGTGGCTGTCCCCTGCTCCCGCAGGGGATCTGAGGATGGGATACAAGGTGCAGGGCAAGTCTTCCAAGACGCTGGACGCAGGCGGGGCCGCCGGGGCTGGTGGAGACGGGAGCCTGGGGTCCTTGGCAGCGCGGGGGAGATCTGCCCGCCACCGCGAAGCGAGGCACGGCCTGCGCACCCCCGCTCCGCCCCACCTCCCGGCCGCCGGAGTCCTTTTAAAAGCAGCAGGTGGGCGGGTTTCGCTCGGAACACCCCTGGTCCTCAGGGGCCTGCCCGTCCTCCAGCCCGGATTGAGGGCGCCGCTCCCGCGGGGGCCCAGAGCCCGCTGCCGCAGTCGGCCGATCACTCTCCCAGGACAACCCCCAGGGCGCGAGCACGGCCTGGGCCGGCGTCGGTCTCTCTCCTCCGGCCTGGCCCGTGCCCCCCACCCACCCAGCAGCGGCTGCCCGAGTTTGGGGCCCTCCGTTTCCCTGGACTCAAGAACCACGCACAGGAGGGACGATCGGATAGTGCGATTTATTGCCCCCGCGCCCTCCTCCCGCCGCGCCCAGGCCTGGGATGAGACGGGACCCGCTGTCCGCGGGGTCGCCCGGGATGCGGGCGCTCTGCTCCGCACGCCTCTGCGACCCCAGACCCGGCGGGGTGGGGGAGGGTAGGGAGAGGAGAAAGGCTGAGACCGCGAAGGGGAAGAAAATAACAGGCGGGCGGGGGCAGGAGGCGGTATGATTAAAAGAAAATTCTAAAAGGGAAAAGGACCCTCTCTCCCTTCCCGCTTGGGGCCCCTCCGAGAGGAAAGGGCGCACTGCTCGCCGTTCCCGCAGCAGCCCCGTCGGCGGGGGAAGGAAAGAGGGCGAAATGGTTTTTCGTTCACGGGTTTCGTCGCGTCTTGGTCTCTCTAGTTCCCACCCAACGTCTCGATTCGGGCTCGGCCGAGAACCGACGGGGCCAGGCCAGGCCGAGCGGCGGGCGCCCCGTCGGCGGGGGAAGGAAAGAGGGCGAAATGGTCTTTCGTTCACGGGTTTCGTCGCGTCTTGGTCTCTCTAGTTCCCACCCAACGTCTCGATTTCCCTCGCCGTCGCCCACCGGGATGGCGATCTCGCCGTCCGCCGCCGCCGCCTCCTCGGGCGCCTTGGCCCGGCGCACGCTGGCCGCCAGCACCTTGGCCGCCACCCCGGGCCCCGAGAGCTCGGGGTGCAGCCGCAGGTGGCGCGCCAGGCTCTTGGGCTGGCTGAAGCCGCGGCCGCAGCGCGGGCACACGAAGGGCTTGAGGCCGCTGTGCGAGCGCCGGTGCTTGGCCAGGCTTTTGCTCTGCGTGAAGCTGCGGCCGCAGTCGGGGCAGGCGTAGGGCTTCTCGCCCGTGTGGATGCGCTGGTGCTGCATGAGGTTGGAGCTCCAGCTGAAGCGCTTGCCGCACTCGGAGCAGGCGTAGGGCTTCTCGCCCGTGTGGATGCGCCGGTGCTGCACCAGGTGCGAACTCTGCGAGAAGGTCTTGCCGCAGTCGGCGCAGGCGTTGGGCCGCTCGCCCGTGTGCGTGCGCTGGTGCCGCGTCAGCTTGGACCAGTGGCTGAAGCTCTTGCCGCACTCGTTGCAGATGTAGGGCGCGGGCGGCCGCGGCCGGGGCGGGGGGCCGGCGGGGGGCGCCGACGGGGGCGGGGACAGCTTGGTCGGGGGCCAGCTGGGGACGTCGTCGTCATCCATGATGAGGATATCCACTGCAAGGAAGGGGGGAGAGGGCGTCAGAGAGCCCGTGGAGGGCGGCTGGGGCTGCTCCCCTGCCGCGCTGCGAGGCCTCAGGAAGCGGCTCCCCTGCACCAGGCCGGGGGCAGCACCTCCCTCGGAGCGCCGAGAACCTGGCCTGCCGGGCCTGCCCGGGTTAGAAGTGCTCGCTCAGTCCCCGTCCCCACACACCCCCGCCCCCAGTTTCCTGCGTTTTACCAAACACTCCGAACCCATCCCCTAGGGCTTCTCCTTCCTTCACAGCCGTTTCCCCCACACCCAGAACAATGCCCGGGACTTGGTGGGGATTCCATAAATGTCTGCTAAAGGAATCAACAGAATCGAACGGGGCTGGGGGTGGAGGGCTAGGGAAGGCCCTAGTACAGAATGACCCCTGAGGCAGGAGCCCCTGGCACCAGGTGGCTCCCATCTCACCCGGGGACGAGGGCTCGCGGCGCTCCGTAGGGTTACAGACCGGGTAAGGACAGGGTCAAAATTGGGTTCTGGGAAGACAACCTGGCTGCGGGGGTCGGACTGGTTAATGAGATCACAGGCCAGCAGGACAGGCCTGACACCGCCCGCCCCCCCAACTGGGAGTGCAACCCCACACCCCGCAGCCTCTACCACGGACGTCCTCAGCCTGGACCCTGGTTCTGTGTGCCCGGTAGAGACAAGAAAGAAGCGTGGGGCCTCCGTGGCGGCGCCCGCGAGCCGGGGACACCACCGAGGACACCTCCGCGGGCCTCTGCCCTACAAAGCCTCTAATACATTTGCGCCGCCGCTGGCCCGGGCGGCCTCCCGGGAGAGATGAGCGGCTCCACGAGATCTGGGTGCACGCTCGGCGACATCTGCCTTCCCTGTGCGGCTCGGGCCTGAGCTACAGAATGGAGACGGGTTTAGGGTGCTCAAGCTCAAGACACCTGCCCCGGCGTGAGCCCCTCCCACCAGGCTTAGGCCTCGCTCACAACTCTCCGGCTCCACCCCTGGGCTCAGCCTCGCCCCCACCCGGACCCAGCCTCGCCCCAGCCACGGCCCGCCCACCAGGCTTCGGCCCCGCCCCTGGAATGGCCCCGCCCGCCAGCCTCCGGCCCCTCCCCCAGGTGCACCGCGAAGGCGTCGCTCAGGTGAACCCCACCATAACCTACCTAACTCTGTTTTCCTGCTCCCTCTCACTAGCCTGCAAGCCCACAGGGCCAGCGGTCGGACCCTGTGTTCCAGCACCCGGGCGGGGAAAAGTGCCCCAACACGGTCCTCGAGATAACGTCCTCGTGCGCTCGGTAAGCATACGTGCGTAAAGTCCCTCGAGGTGGGCGCTGGGGCCTCGGGCCTTCGCGGTGAGGACACCGAGGGGTCAGCCAGATGAGCCGCCGCCCGCGGCGACACGGCCTGGGGACAGAGAATCACCAGGGGCCCGCAGTCCGGATCCCTGGCGGCCGCCCTGAGCTCCAGCTCCGCTGGGGGACGGTGCCCCACGCGCCACCCTCGCTGACTCTGAGCACCGACGCTTTGAGAACCAGGGCTCCACGCGAGGAGCACCGGAACAAGGCCTGTGCTGGGACAGGACATCACTTCGGTAGGAAGCCTGGGCGGGGTGGGAGGCGCTTCCGAAGACACGGCCTGTGGCCCACTCCACTTTGACATCAACATAAATCCGGAACTCCGGACGGCCGCCGTTAGGACTCCACTGCCTCGCGGGCCCCAGTCCCACCCCGACTGGGGCCCTGAGATCCAGCAAGCCACGCAGCGAGGCCAAGGGGGCAAACAAGAAAAGGTCATAAGCACACGACGTCCCGAGGCGTGGGAAAGGGAGGGGTGGGAGGCGGGCTTGCTCTTGGCGGGAAACCACGAAGTACACGCTCTGCTTTCCAAGTTGCCCCGAAAGTTTAACAAGACACGTGACTAGGCGATGACGTGCATTTGCCATCGCAAGGACCCAGACATAACACAATCCGCCTGAACCCGTGAGACCCCTGGAACTCAACCAGGAGTCCTGGATGCGGGTGGAGGGCGAGGGGCGGAGCGCCGGTCCGGAAGCAGGAGAGAAAGCTTGCGGGGCCGCAGGGCTGGGCTGAGTGGGGGCTGCGCCGAGGTCTGCGCAGGGGGGCGGGGGGCGGGGAACGGGGACCGGCGCTGTGCCGCCTTCACCGCAGGCACTACTTTAGAGCAGGTGTTAAACGGCCCAGTGGAGTCCACTGACTCAGGGAGGCGGGCCTGCCCCTCAACCTGCGGACCCCTGGTCTCCTGCAGTGGATGCAGGGCCCCGTACTCTCATGCACCCCGAGTCCGAGTCTGGAAGGGGGTCAGCGGCTGCCCCCGGTCCGCCCTCCTCACCGGGCCAACGTCTCTGCGCTGGGAGTCATCCTTAACTGGATGCACGAATTCCCAGAGAGGAGAGCACACAGACCAGCACCAAAGGGCTCCCTCAACGAAACGGCACAAGAGGCTGTGACCGCCTTGCTGAGCGTAACAGCTACCCTTCTGGGGCGGGGAGGGAAGGGGGTGTCCCGGGCACCAGGCCCCCTCAGCCCACAGCAGCTGTCACTGTCCTCCTCTCAGCTCAGGCCCCGAGGGGGTCCTGCTGCCCACCCATGCCCACGACCTCGCAGCTTCCTGCCCTGGGACGGAGCCCGCCAAGCGGACTAAGGCTTGACTGGATGTTAACCCTTCTCCTTTCTGTCCCAGAACACAGGACATGCAGAGAGCCCACCAACAGAATGCAGAGCTGACCACAATCAACGCAGGACAAATGCCCCATTGAGACGCGTCTGGGCGCCCCTGGGGCCCCTCCATGCCGGGCCCCACGCACAGCCCACGCCAAGCCCAGAGAGCCAAGCTGGAATGGCCCCCTCACAATCCTGCACGCGTCACCCAAGTGCACGCCCCCAGACATGAGTCTGGTCCCTTTACTTCTCACTTCAGCTAAGTCTGTTAGGTCCTGTGTAATACACAGCTTCCCGGGTCTCTTGCTCTTCCTGACAATCTTCCTTTCACGGAGCCCTGGGGCCCACTGGACCCTCGCAGGCTGCCAGCTCCTCCTTGTGGGCTGCAGCTGGGGATCCAGCCCCACCAGCCCTGTGGCCGGTCATCCTGAAGCTGCAATCCCGTCCTCTCACTAAAGGCGTGGATTATCGCCTCTCGTGTGATGTCGTATCGTTTCTGTGACATCAAGGGCCACTGACATTCAGGAACTCGGAGATCAACTGAATCACGGAGGGATGCAAGGCACGGCACTCCTGTGGTTTCTCCTGCACGCAGCTGGCACAGGGGCCCACCTTGGTCTTGACAGGGCACTTGTCCTGCATTGATTGCGGTCAGCTCTGCATTCTGTAGCCAGAGTAGTTTTTACAGATGCTCCCTCGCCCGCTGGTTGGGACCCAGTGGTCAATTTCACAGGCTTACGGCAGGATGGACTTCATTTTCCCTCATCTGCCCGGCCTTCCATTGTCCTCCAGCGTGACCAAGTAACCTTCCCTTTCTTCAGTGCGCCGAGCCCACGGATTTACACCATCTACTGGGCCGCACCTGCAACCCATCACCCTGCCAGCTGCAGCCCATGGGAGCCTCGAGGAGGCTCACCCACACTTCCTACCCCAGCCCTGCAGCCGGCCATTTTTACAAGGGCGCTCTGGTTTCTCTGAGCGGGAAACAATTTCAAGCTCCAAATCTGGAAGCGAACAGTTCTTTTTTTAACCAAAAAAAAAAAGGTGAAATTCCTGTAAGTTCTAACTGACACTTTCCATACAGATCCAAGCCAGCAGGCTTCTTTGTGGTCTTCCTTAGACACCCGCATCTCGGTCCTCACAAGGGGAGGAGAGAACCTGGACCAGCGCCATCTCTGCCAGACTGCTGACATCACATCACCAGCATCGGGATGGCTGTGCGCACACCGGCTGGGCCAAGCGTGATTCCTCAGGACTCACAGCCAGCCTGGCCCCACTCCCTGCCCGTGGATCTGGCCCCGGCCACCTGGGGCTCCTGGCCCGCAGATCCCCCAGGAAGGGCCCACGCAGAGGCGGTCTGCTTGGCTCTGCGGGTAACGAGTTCACCTGCGCCCTTCAAATGGGCAGGTTGGTTTTCCTGTGGGCATATGATGCGACTCACAGCCCTCCCTTTCCTTCCCTGGACAATCAGAAACAGAACCTCTCCACTCTGCTCTGGCAGAAGGCGCCGCTGACCGGCTGAGCGCGAGGCCATCTCCTCTTCCCCGGGGGTCATTCACTCTTTCCCCAGGTACCTCTTCCCCAGGGGTCTGCTGCTTCAAGCCCAGCGACTTGAGTTGAAGACCATCCATCCGAGTGGATGTTCTCAGATTTTCGACTTGCTCCTTCGACACCCAACTTTTCCATTTCAGGAGTGTTTTCTGGACTCGTAGGTTTCACTGTTCTCTTCCTTATACTGGATTTTGTCTTCTCGGGGCTTTCTTTAACTAACTTCAGTACCCTTCTTTTTTCTTAACCCTGCTGTCATCTTTGTTTCTTTTTGATTGTACATGCTCCTCCTTTTCACCTTCGGTTTTCTCAGAGCGCGATGCACTGCTCTCACTGTCTTGGGCTCCTCCACCTTCACCTTGGAACATCCCAGTCTGTGCTGCTGGCTCTCTGCTGAGCTCTGCCTCTGGGCAGCGCAGTCCTGGTCTTGTCCTTCCAAGCCCCTGCGCACAGTCCCGCCTGTCTGGGAGCACACCTCTGACACCTCCCTGTCTGAGAACACCCTCCTCGGCCCCTTTCTCTTAGCTAACAGCTCCTGCGGGGTGGGGGCAGAAGGACGAACTCCAGCTCCCTGTCTGCCCGTTTCTGGACATCAGCTTCCCTGAACTCGCAGGCGGCTGCGCTCTGGGCAGTGTTTCCAGCTCCTCGGGGGTCCTCTTGCGCGTGCGTGACCTGCTCTCCCAGGGACCCCCGCCCTGCCGCCACCCGCATTTGGTCAGTACCTTCCCCTCCCCACTGCGGTGCCCGCCGGGGGCTGGACCCTGAAGCCCCTCCCTGTAGGCCCTGCTCTGCCTGGGGCCTCCCTGGTGGGCGCTCTCCCTGAACACAGTCAGGAAGCCGGCCAGGCGGCCTGCCGGCCCCGTTGCTGCTCTGTATGGAACACATGCTGCAGCTGCTGCCCGCAGTGACCCCCAAGGACGGCCTCGCGGCCAGCTCCCCGCCCCCTAACACCACTTGGCCCGTCCCCATCCAGCTGTGCTCGGGGCTCTGCTCCTTGGGAGCCCAGTTGGTGTGGCCAGGGCACATCGGGTGGGGTTTGCTGTGTTTTCACGCGGGGTCTGCTGTCACCCCGGCTCAGGCAGGCGGGACACTGCACTCCCGGGACTCTGCGGGACTCACACTAGTGGCGCTGAGACAGGACAGGCGGGCCTGACCGCCCGAGGCCTGGAGCCTGGCCCTGAAAACCAGCAGCTGAAGACTCCTCCCCGCCTCAGAGTCAGGCCCTCTCTTCACCTATGATCCATGTTTGGACAGCCTCTCTCTTGAGCGCCCTGACTTGGAAGACTTGGTCGGCTCTCACACTGCACCCCTGCCGGCTCACCCCCAGGGTCTGCAGGCCTGGGGCTGGGGTCAGCCCTTCTGTGAGGCAGTCACCACAGAGCCTGGCTGCAGCCAGCTGACAGTCCACCCCAGCACCAGCCCTGGCTCCTGGTGGCCCCGCCATCCCATGCCCCAGGCTCACAGCCCTGCTCCCAAGGCCCCTCGGCCCTCCCCACGGCACCAGACGGCACCAGGGGTCTCAGGGCAGGGGGCCCACGCTGCCCATCACGGGAGGGGCCTACGGGGGGCCCCACAGGGCAAGGGGGGGCAGAGCAGCTGGGAAGCTTGCAGGTCTAGTGGCTTGGGAGCAGGGGTCACAGGGTGGGGGCAGCCCCAGGCGGGCCCGAGCAGACCGCTGGGCAGAGCGCAGGTGAGCCTACCTGCCCCTCAGGGCCTGCCCAGGAGCACGGCTGAGTACAGGGCGTGGGGGCCAGAACTCCAGGCTCCGAGGTAAACTGCCTTCTGGGGGCGGCTGGGGGCGGGGGCAGTCAGGGGCAACGCTGAGTCCATCAGCCGAGACGAGCTTTTGCTGCTTGCGGAGAGTTTATGGGTGAACGGCTGTGGCACCTGGGGCTGTTCTCTCAAACCCTCCAGGAAAGGAGCGCAGGACCACCTGGCGCGGCTCACTGCTGGGGTCGGCGGGACACGAGGCCACCGCACTGTCGGCTGGAAGTTTCCAGAAGGAAACCGACGGCAAGGTTAAAGTGGTAAAAGACAGGGAGGCGGGGCGATGCGGGGAAGGAGGGGCTGGGGCCCTCCCCGTAGGGCGGGGCCTCTGCCCCCCAGGCCAGGAGCCCTGAGCCCGCTGGCCCCCGGCCCCTCACAGGAGAGGTCTCGGACCCAGGTCAGGACGCACGAAGACGCATCGACAGCAGCACAGAGCACTTCACACTTTATTTCGCAGGCACCCTGCACGGGAAGCCCGGGAAACCCCTGGAAACGGGACCACGGCTCCCACCGAGGGCGGGGGCTAGGGGAAGCTGTGACGGGGTCTCAGCACACAAAGCCTCATCCCTGGGGGCTCACAGAGGAGTTTTACTCAAGCCAAGTAACGCTTTATTAAATAAGGCAGGCTGTCAATATTCTAAATGAAAGATCAAGACCCAGGCCCAGGACCACCCAGAAGCCTGGGCCCCCACGACAGGCTCCACGCCCGCAGTCACAGTCATGCCTGGCCCTGTATCTATCCTGGCCCCCAGCCCCCAGCCCCTCCCCGGGCTGAGGAGCCCCGACCCGGGGAAGCCAAGGGGGCCGCCCCCAAAGGCTCCCGGCTGGGGGGCCACAGAGACCCCACCAGGCCTGGGAGGCGGCTGGCTGGGCCCCGGAGGCACAGTCGGGCCCGAGCTGCCAGGGGGCGGGCAGGGCGCGGGGTCGGCTGGGAGAAGCACAGGGCCCCTCACCTGGGTTCTCGTGACTGGCCATCTGCTGGTCCTCAGAGTCCAGCGGCCCCGGAGACCAGGCCTCTTCCCGCAGCTCCATGTCTGGGCCCTGTCGGACGGGAGACAAGGAGAGGGTTCACAAGACGCCAGAGTGGACGCNCGCTTTATTAAATAAGGCAGGCTGTCAATATTCTAAATGAAAGATCAAGACCCAGGCCCAGGACCACCCAGAAGCCTGGGCCCCCACGACAGGCTCCACGCCCGCAGTCACAGTCATGCCTGGCCCTGTATCTATCCTGGCCCCCAGCCCCCAGCCCCTCCCCGGGCTGAGGAGCCCCGACCCGGGGAAGCCAAGGGGGCCGCCCCCAAAGGCTCCCGGCTGGGGGGCCACAGAGACCCCACCAGGCCTGGGAGGCGGCTGGCTGGGCCCCGGAGGCAGTCGGGCCCAAGCTGCCAGGGGGCGGGCAGGGCGCAGGGTCGGCTGGGAGAAGCACAGGGCCCCTCACCTGGGTTCTCGTGACTGGCCATCTGCTGGTCCTCAGAGTCCAGCGGCCCCGGAGACCAGGCCTCTTCCCGCAGCTCCATGTCTGGGCCCTGTCGGACGGGAGACAAGGAGAGGGTTCACAAGACGCCAGAGTGGACGCGGCCCCGAGCTGCACCCACCGCCCCCCTCTGGGATGGCCACAGACAGACGCAGGAGGCGCTCAGCCCAAGCCAGGGACCCCAGCCGCCTTCCAGGACGGCCGCCCCCGAGGCCTCTCTGCCCCAGGACGAGGCCTGGCGACGCTGTGTGGTGGGTGGGCCAGGGGCGCGGCCCAGCATCAGAGGGGCTCCTGGTCGGCGGTCTGCTCTCCGCTGTGGGCCAGTCAGGTGAGACCCCACACCGGGCCCGGGACGAGGGGACGATGCTCTCCAGGGATCAGCACTTGGAGAAGCGTGCTCCGGGACGGGTGGAGGGGTGGGGGGCACGGGGCTCCCAGGAAGCTGGTGGGCCCGGGACACACCACCCCGAGACCCCGACAGCCCCAGACACAGCAGGCGCTGCTGACGGTGGGGACACCCGTGAACCCCCGAGCAGCGCGGAGGCTCCAAGGCCAGGAGGCAGCCCGCCGAACGCTGACACACGGGCCCCCAGCCCCCCGCCGCCTCCACCCCAGACCCCACAGAAGGACAGACGCCCCGGAGGCTGAGCGGGTACAACCCCACAGTCCGGGCACAGGGCTGCGCAGGCATGCCAACCGGGCGGTCGCCCTGGGAAGAGCTTGGCGGGCCAACTCAGGGGCTCAGCCCGCCTGACCCTGGAATCCCGCTCCAAGGCCACCTTCGGCCACCTTCACAGCAGCGCCGCGCAGACGCAGCAAGGGGAGCCGAGTGCGGGCCACAGAAGGTCGGGCTGGGCCGGGGATGGGGATGGGGATGGGGGGAGCGCCCGCGTGTGGGCACAGGGCTTCTCTGAGCGATGAAACGCTCTGGGACGAGACGGCAGCAGCTGCACAGCTCTGCGAGTGGCAACCGCCGGACTGTCCCCTTCACGAGGCGGCTCATACCCCAGTGAACACCTAGACAGACTGAGGTGTGTGCGCAGGTCCCGACTCCGGCACCGTCCACTCAGAAACGAGAGAAGGAGAAGCGGCCAGGCGAGCGGGGGCCGCTCAGTGAGCCTTCCGATCCACACCTGTCTGCCGGGCGGCCATGTGTGGAGCGGGAACAACCGCATCCAAGTCAAGCAAGCAGGGCCTTCCCGGCCCGGCGTCCACCTCCGGCCGCTTCCCGCACTGAGAAGGCGGGTGGCAGGGCTCCGTCCTCCCCAGGGCGTCCACAGGCTCCAGGGGAGGGGACGCAGAACAGGGAGGTGTTGGGCAGCTTGCCCCGAGGCCAGAGGTCCCCACACCCCCGGAGGGGGCAGCTCAGACAGGGCAGTGAGGGAGACACCACCCGGTTTCCAAGGCGGGGCAGGCCCCGAGCTGCAAGATCCCTGCCCACACCCAGCATCCTGGTGCAAGGACCTCACTGTGAACCCACAACTCTCCGAGAGGAGGAGGCAAGTCCCCGCGAGAGCGAGTCCCGCACCAGGAGGGGGCGACGCCCCAGAGGGCGGGGGACCTGCCAACATGACCTTCCTTCGTCCCCCCACCCCGGCCCAGGGCCCCCGGTTACCCCCCAGCACGCAATTGCATTCTGGTTTTGGCCCTGAGCAGAGGGTGGTGACCCCACCCACCGGGGAAGGGAGACTTAAAACCAACCACGGGATGAACACCCTGCATCCATCCACCTGCTGGGCCTCTTGTGGGGGCCGCGGGGTGCCGCTCTGGCTCGGGGGCCAGGCCCTGTGTCCCCATTGAGGCCTCGCACAGCAGGGACCCCAGGAGCCCGGGTGGGGGGAGGAGCCGGAGCGCGCCCCGGGAGATCCCCTGGGTCCCTGTGAAGGGCCCAGGGCAGGCACTGGAGGGTCACCCTCGGCCACTGGTGCGCTCCTCCACTGCGGCCGCTCTGCCCCCTGTGCCACCCCGGGGGCTTGGGGTCCTACCCCGGGACCTGAGGAGGAGGGGAAGCCGCAGTCCCTCCCACCCAGAGCTGAGGGCTGGGGCAGCCCCTGACCCGGCGACTCCCTGGGGGAGATGGAGCGATTCCCGCGCCAGCTCGACTGTGGAACCTGATGACTCTGGAGGCTGAAGGTGGTGGGTCCTGCCCTCCCGGCCCCCAGACGCTCCAGGCCCGGCACACCTGTCAGGGCCGGCCGCCCGCTCTGACCCCCACCCACTCCACAGAGACGGAGGCCCACCCCCGCCGGGCCCTGGAGCGATCCAATTAGCCTGGGAGCCAGCAGGGCCCGCGAGACAAATTATTATTATTATTGTTATTAGACCCACCCACCTGCCCTGGATGCCTGCCCACCAATTACCCGCCGGCTCTTTCTTCCGCTGCCAACCTCGCCTCCTCCTCCGGCCGGCCCTGCTCCGGCGCCCGCGCCCAGGGCTCCCGCTGCCGGAGACAGCCCGCCTCTCTGTTCCTGGGCTGCCGTCAGGCCTTAGCTGGGACCCCCGGCTCCTCCCTTGGCCATTCTTCCCCAGCCCCCGCCCCAGCCTTGTGGCCACCGAAGGCCGGTGACTACCTCTCGGACTCCACCCCAGGAGGGTCCTGCCCTGCCCGAGCCCACCCTCACCGCCCTCACCCAACTCCCACCCCCGGGGCCTGCGCCCCCCAAGCCCTTTCCAAATCCGCTCCCCACACCATGGACCGATTCATCTTTTCAAGGCACTCGGTTCAAACAAGTCAGTCGACTCTAAAGGGGCAGAGAATGGGAAGAGACACTTCTCCGAGCTGGCGAGCACACGAAGAGACAGATGCTGGTCGTGGTGTCAAGCCCACAGACAGACCCCAGCGCAGGGGCGCTGGGCGTACTTGACGACCACCGAAAGCACGTGCGCGCGCGAACAGGCGGAGAGGCGGGGGCGCGCACGCACACGTTGCTGCCAGGTCCACGGGGTGACCCGGCGACCCCACTTCCGGCCACGAACCCGAGGGCTGAGAACTCGTCCGCACGACAGTTTACACTCGCGTGTCCGCGGAAGCAGAAGTCACAAGAGCCGAGCGTGGAAACAGCCCAAACGGCCGTCACCGGTGAGGGACGCGCACGCGGCCGGTGGCAGCTGGAGGAGGAGAGGAAAGAGGAAGCGCTGGTCTCGGAGGGGAGAGGCCGCGGTGACTCCGCTCGCCGAAGGCAGGTCCCTGGGGGCTCCGGGCGAGGGGCACGTGGTCACCGTGAGCTGTAAGAGGGTGACCCGTCCGTGCGGCAACCTCCTCATAGGGGAGCTGCTGTCTGTTTTATTACGGGTAGCTCGGTCCCGCCACCCCCCTGCCCGAACCACCCCCACACGTGGCCCCTGTGCTCGGTCCAAACTCCAGACCCGGGCGGCTGTCTGCCAGGTCAGCCCTGCAGACGCACTTCCTCCAGGGGGCCCTGCCCCGCCTCGCACCTGCCCGGCACCTTCTAGCCTTCCAGGGATCTGCTCTCCAACTGGCCACCACCAACCTTCCTAGAGCTTCCCACACGTCTGTGAACAGTCCTGCCCTTAAATGCTGGTGGATAACTGAAGATTCCTTTAAAAAAACATACTCTTCAGGACAAAAAAAGAGCTGCACGCGTGGGCCATCGCTGGTTCTGTCACCCCTCGACAGCAATGGGCCAGACCCCACGCCCTCTGGGGGCTCTGGTGTCTGCAGGGCACTTCCTTCCACCTCACCCACCTGCCAGCCCTCTCCCTGGAGACCCGCCGCCAGAGCCCAGGGAACACAGCACCTCCCCCAGGAAGCCTTCCCAGACTCCTGCCTTCCCTCAGCCCCACTGTCCCTTTTCCCCAAACAAGACCAGCCAGCACACCGAGGGCTGGGCACAGGGGCAGCGTGGGCACCTCCTGATCCCCGTGGCCACCGAGGGCACGGGAGGCTGCCCTCTCTGGGCCGGTGGGCAGGCGGCCAGGGTGGAGGCGGCCTCACCCCCCAGCCATGCCCCTGGGGCGGGTGCACCACCCTGCGCCTCATTTTCACGGGCTTGGCGTCCAGATCATGAGACGAAGGGCGGCGCTCCACAATGAGCCGGGCACCCAGGAAATGTGGACAAGCCTCTGGAGCCCAGTTAAGACCCGTCTGGGGCTGACCCAACCTCCCCGCGCCTCGGGACACACCATCGTCCAAGGCCCGTCCTCCCCTCCGCCGAGAACACGGGCACCAGCTCCCTTTACTCCCGATTACAGCCGAGCCCACGTCCCTGGGAGGCTCTCCCCGACTTCCTCCGCCCTACGTGTCCACACACACCCAGGCAGATGGTGAGCTCCTCCAGCCCAGGGAGTCAGGACGTCCTGGCCGGCCTGACCCTGCGCCTCCAGGCTGGGCCACGTGTGGGTCCCCAGTGTCACTTGTGACGAGGCAAGCCCACACAGGACCCCCGTTCAGCAAAGAGAGGCCAGTGTTCTGTGGGCCCAACGGTTAGGCAGGCAGAGCAGGGAGACCCCCCTGCCAAGGTGGACCCCAGAAGCAGCTGGCGGGCAGCGCAGTGGTGAGAGGTGCCCTCTCTGTCCCCACGACAGGGCTGCCTGCCCCGCTGTAGAGATGAGCGACCCCCCTCCCCAACTGGGGCAGGGAGGCC